GACAGGATCAATCTTAAATAACCTTAAACTATGAGAATAAATGTTCACATCAAAGACAAAGATCAGTCCCAAAGTATAAAATATGTTCTGTAAACTTACCACAAAGTCGAGAAATGTGTGCATTAGCTGTTTATTTGATGATTTCAACGTATATAGAAGCCCTCTTTCCAATAATATTCGCTTATCGCACAGTATAACACCAACTGATGTAATAGTTCAAATGCAATGATAAGTTATCTCTTGAATTACGTCTTGGAAACCGTGTTGGAAATTTCAATGCTGATCCATTACATATAGATTACCGTTTTATATCTTTGTATAAAACATTTTGATCGCATGTAAGGAATTATTTCTCATCCCAGAGACATAGCACAAAGACTTGACATTAACGTCCTTGTGATTTTATAGAGATAGTTCCAGAACTAAGGATTTTAGAAGGAATTATCTGTACCTTCCCAAAGTTGTAGACAAGATATGTTGTTTACGTCCAACACGCATAAGATTGCATAACTCAGAATGATTCGAGCAAAACCGGTCTTTTGTTTAAAGGAAGAATGGTTAATAGAAATTGGTCCTTTTGAGTGACATAATCGTGTATCGTCATCGATCCGTGTCGTTGAACAATGAAAAAATTTGTTGTGAAATTAGTGAAGATAAAATAGCATTTTGTGAAAAAACTGCGGGTCTACGGAGTGGGAACTTTTCGGATTTGAACTCAGCGTGTTCGAAAGTGTTAGTTCCCGTAAAAATATTTCAGATCTAAGACATGCTTAATGAAAGTGAACGATATCGGGTCACAACACACGGACTATCACTAATTTGAGATGTTCTGACTTTCTTTAACAATTTTTACTGCAGTATTTATGTAAATTAACAACATTTATAAATGGGCCGCCTATGGAAAAACAAGAATTGAAAATATTTTGAAAGATACAAAATTGTGTGAAACATAAAAAATTGTGGGCCTTGCAAGAGCGGTTGAGAGCAAAGGCATGTTACACGAGGCAATTTTGCTGGATCTTGCAACCCATTTGTAAATGTAGCTCAAAGTAAATTGAGCACTTTGTGAAGTCAGTGGCGCGTGTTCACATGCATCAAGCGGTTAAAACACATCGATCACAAGGTGAGTATTATGCATTATAAAGCGTATAGTATTTAAACTCTATATCTTGTACCTTTTGCAGATACTGGATTTGTTTTCTTTGACCTGATTATTACCGAGGAAGGTCTAGTGAGATCACTGCCAGCTCTTTTCACAGTAACTTGACAAATATCAGTATTTTCATCCACCATGTACCTCGTTTTGTCGAAATAGACTCGTGGTTCTGAATAAGAAGAGAAATTATAGCAGAATATTGCACAACTATAATAAAAAAACATATAAACTGATGTGGTGACTGGAAATACAAAAAAAATGTCAAAATCAAAGGCTCATAAACAAGTTCAATCATTCGTGTTGACTTTCTGCTTAAATATCAATGTATATGAAAAGTTATGTTGTCATGAACGACGGGGTTGATGCAGGTGAATTTATACCATGAATTCGTAATATCATTTCGAAACGTTGGTCGTTTTTTCTCTCAAACATTTAGATTCATTCATTCAAGGTCCAACTTTTATTTGAAGTCTGTTTTGTTCACTATTTTATGAAGTTATCGGCATGTAATGGTATTTTATAAAATCATATACTTACCATCATTTACGTCAGATTTAATAATGACAAGAGATCTGTTGTACTTGGAACTGACAACAGTATAATCGACACTTGGTATAATATAAACTGAGAAATCCTCATCTTCCTCGTAGAGTGAATCATCTACTAACTGTACAGAACAATTTTTCACCCTTTCGCCCTGCAAGAAAGCAGTTTGTTTGTTTTTACCTGAAACATACTTTGACACAAAGTTTCAAAGACAACATGACATAGAGAGGTCCAGATTATAATTTTCACTACCGCTACCTCTCACTGGCTTAGTACCCATCTGCGTGATTGGATAATGAAATCGGATGTATGAAACGCAGCGGTAGTGGAAGTCAAATATGAACCCCTCTTATATTTATAGCACTTCACGGGCCATTATTATTGATCCAGTGTTACTATACGAGGAGACTGGTGTGCCCATAACCGTACGCCACAGTGTAACACAATAAATTTAGTACAGGTATTTATTATATAAACATAAGTGTTATATAGAGTTTTTGGCCACGATATTTTTACGTGTGAAAATATCACTTTGCAAGCCAATCAAAAAGCGCGTAGGAAATATGTTTGACCAATCAGAGAACTTGTTGTAAAACGCATTGCCACGGATGTTTTATTGTTTTTCAATTATCGCTTTTCAATTATCGCTTTTCTGTAAAAATTATCGCTTTTCAAAGACTGTCCGTTATATAATAAACAGAAAAATACATGGATGCTTGGAAATATCAGATTTATTTCTCATATTGAACATGATATCTCACGAGTGAGCGCAACTCGAAATAAATCTGGTATTTCCGCGCACCCATGTATTATTCTCTATATATAAAGCGGTACATAAATACAATACAACAAAGAACAATACAGTATTGATGGTATAATAAAAAAACACGCGTATTTTCGCGGCCTAATTTACCTGTCTAAATACTAGAACATTCCTTTTGTCTTTCGACTTGCTTATGAAATCAGAATAGGACTGAATGCCAGGTTCATATGTGCCCGAAGCAGTACCTAAGACACAAGACAACAGAAATACAGAATCATAAAGTTACCACCACGGTCACGTACAACTTCATGCCATGGCTGTATTAAAATGTGTACTGTTCAGTATTTAACCTAGTACGGTTGCTCTTTCCAAATTGCTTAAAGCAATTAAATACCGTGGACGACATTATGCCAGACAAATAATTTAAAGGGATATAAATGTCACTTCTAAGATATATAAATCTCTTTATGGATTCATATCGAAACATAGTAAAGACTGATAAAAACGTGTAAGCCTTGTATGCTCTGAAATGGCAATTTCAGCATTACTGCCTGTCACAGCATATCACGAACCTGAGCGAGTAACACACCAAATTTGATCCTGTTTCGATATATCGCCATGACGGTACAGCTCTATGTTTGCCAATCCAGAAGATTCTTCAACATAGTAGTTCAGTTTAGATACAGAAATAACAGATCCTATAGACGAGAGAATTAGATAAAAGTAAGACGTGCGAAAATTAACAGCAATTACGATACATTTTTCGTTCTTTCCCGCCCCCCAGTGCGTGGAAATCTCTAAAGTGCGTATTATTTCGTTAATACTAAAGGGATATGGCAATATAAATTAAATTGTCTTATTTGAAAGAACACTTAAAATTATATATAAACTTCCTTTACAATTATTCCGTATCTTGCTTGGTTTTCGAAAAAAAATCGACTTATTTTGATCAAAGCAGCGTACATTCCGCCATCTTGGATATGCATTCGATATGCATACGTCACAAGTAGGGTAAAAAGCAAAATTTTTATCTTGCAAACCACATTTCATTATCAATATGAAACTCGATTTTCCGAAGTCTTTTTAGTACTCAATTAACTCACAATATTTTAAGAAACTTTTCGAAGAAATTTAGTCCCACATGAAGAAGTTTAAAACAAGTTTACCTGCTTGTGACGTCACAAAAAACTCAGTTAATTAGGTCAATAATAAAACCAAGATGGCGGACTGCACACTGTTTTTGGTCAAAATATTTCGAAAACCAAGCAAGGTACGAAAAAGTTGTTAAGGATCTTCATATATATAACTTTAAAAGTTCTTTCAAATAAGAATAAGTTAATTTTTATTTCCATCACGGTTACTCTTGATCGAAACTGTAGCGTAACTTTTAAGATTTTTTCCCATGGTTCATTAGTTATATTAGTGCCCCTATTGATAAATTTTGCATCTGAAAGAGCTACCCTGAATAGTGGTTTCAGTAATTCATTGGTTCTTTCATTATTAAGATAATAATTGAAATTTTGTTTAATGAAGCATTTCCGCACAGATCTGGAAAGTAAACAGCGCTACACATTGTGTAATGGTTCAGAAGCCATTGTCATTGAAACAAAGGTAAACAACAGAATGCCGCCATTTCTAAGAGACCTATTATTTGGTCCAAAGGATAGTAATGCTCTTTTTCTACTTTGAGGTTTTAAAATTAAACTATACATTATTCTTAGTATATCCTAAAATAAATTTGTAGCTCGTCTCGTTAATATTCGGAGAACGCTAACATGTACATTTTGTGCATGCTCAGTTAAGTTCAATCTCGATTAGCAGTAGTAGGACACTTGGTGGTAACACCTTGACGAAAAGTATTCGCTTGAAATTTATAGGTACTTTTCAGAAAAAAACCGTTAAATAATTTAGAGGACATATGGTACTGTTTGTGTTCTAAATATTATAGTTTCATTGGAAAAATCGTTAACATGATATTACAACATTCTTTAAGGATTTTCCACATCTCTTTTTACTCTCGAGGTATTAATATTGGTTTGAAATGCAAATTACTCAACACTAAACATCACACTGCAAATGAGGTATCGTAAAATTGGAATTTTTTTATTTTTGGGCACGTTTTGCCAGAGATACCTCGAATACCGATATTAGTGATTGAAATTTTTCATTTCTGATCATTTAGAAACTCATTATACATGCAATGTGACGTATAGAAAGCTGTGTTATTTGCATACTAAACCAACCTCAATACCTCGAAAATGAAAAAGGATATGGAAAATCTTCAAATGTTATGCTATATCATATTCAAAGTTAGCCTGATAAAACAGACGACCGAAAACTCACGCCCCTAAGCGAAAGAGACTCTTTCGCTCCCTGAGTGAGTGAAAGGTCGTCTGTTTTATCAGGCTAATTAAAAGTTTACTTATTCCTACTGAAAGTTTAATTACATTAACCTTAAACTCTGTATCATATTCCCTTTAAAGTTTCACTTACTGTCTTCTGAATCTGTTATAGTTATCTTTGCTTCTCGACGTCCACTTATAATGGCCATAACAGGGGAATGAATTTGGACAGTGAACTGCTCTGTTCCTTCGTACAGCTTGTCATCAACAAGGAGAATCACCCACGTTTTATATCTTTCTCCTGGATTAAACTGTACTTGCTCAGCAGAATTTGGAACAAAATCTTCATTTATTCTCGCTGACCCATCAATAGTCCTAATTCCGATGAACGAAGACTCGCCCAAAAATCCATTTCTGGTCAAGGTTATGACAACTGAACGGTGTACTTCGGACACTTTGTAGACAATTCGATCCAGCGATATACGCGCCCAATGCAGCGAGAACCTCTGGTTCGGTAATTCGTTCATACCAGGGTCCGTTAAGTCAAAGTAAAATCGATCTGAAGTTGCATTCATGTCATTCTTATTATTTAACATGAAGTATATGAGATTCTCATCAATATCACTCTGTCTGAACTCTGTGAGGCTTTCGTTACTTCTAGCAATATTGATCAATGTGCCAAAGTTAAAGGGACTGGAAATTAAGTATGTCACCTGTGTATTATTGCTATCTGGATCAAACGCCTTCAAGAGATCACTAGATAGACACAGGCCCAACCCCCCTCCAGGAACTGGCTCCAGGGTTGTTCCACCACGATTCACAATGATCTGAGGTGTTTTATTATCTATTGCTTGTATATCAATTTCAATCGTCTGAGGTCGTCTTGTTAATGTCTTTGAATCCGGGTAAACGTAGTAATCTAGATGAGTGCCATCCGATACAGTGAATGAAAATGAATCATGTGTAGTGTCTGTACCATCATGTTGATAACTAATAAAATTGTTATCAATATCGCGCTGAGTAAACATCATGGTCGGTTTACCAAGTTTCATGATAAATCCATTCACTGGGATCTGGGTAATTGAGAAAACGAGTGTATCAGGCGTATTATCAGGGTCTTCCGCCTTCAGTTCAAACAATGTTATATCCTTCGTGTTCCCTTCGGGAACAGTCAACCTGCTATATTTTACCACAGTACGTGTATTATCACCATCAAGAAGTGAAATATGGAATTTCCTCATCACCTGATGTCGGCCATCACTCACTTCAAACTGAAAACTGTCCAAGTTGCTGCCATCCTGGCTAGTGTGAACGTATTTGACTTTATGACCAGCCAAATGAAGTTGGCTGAATTGGCTTATAGGGATACTTGGTTCTTCAGCCATCGTAATGATACCCTTCGACGGTGGTTTGGTGATGTAATATTCGAGTTTCGTATCCGGGCTATCAGGATCTGTACTTGTAATAATGTCAGTACTGAGTGTAACCGATGCACCTTTCTTCAAATGAACACCTTGAGAAAAATAAATGTTTATATTGCTATTATGAACACAGGAAAATATTTCTTTAGAGGTAATACTTCGCGCTTCTCAAAGAGTAACACAAACACAGACACACTTACTGATGCTCACACAAAAACGATTTTTCTGGGCATTTGAATAAACGAAAATAACATGATGACATACGAACAAAATTGCACAATACTGTACCTTTACTCACAACAATCGGATAAACTTTATCTTCAGGTTTCATATAAATATAGAACACCTGGTTCACCAAGGAATTCCTGCCGTCTGTAACATCAAAGCGAATTTCCATTCGCGTGACTGCAACGACTGAGAGGTCGGTATAGAAGACCATACCGTGATCAATATCACTTTGAGTAAACGTCGAACCTCGGCTCAAGTTATAAGCCTGTCCGGTACGTTCATAACGCGTCAGTTGTGCTAGTGACGGGACACTCCGAATTATATATGTCAAATTCTCATTTGGAGAATCAACATCTTCAGCGCGCAGTGCACGCGAAGAGATCATACGTGTTTCGCCAATGGTCGTAAGACCCAGGCCAGTGTTCGTAACGAGTCGTGGAGTTTCGTCGTCCATCGGAAGAATGTTTACAATGACATCTTTTCTCACCTCGTGTACTCCATCCGTGACAGCAAACTGTAAGACATCTTCAGTGGTCTCCGTACCATCATGATTGTATGTGATAACATACTGTTTAATTTTAGTAAATGGAAAACTGGTGATCAACTGAGACGGGGACTTGGAACGATCCACAACAACGCCATGTTTTGGTGGCTTCAGTAATTTTATAGTCAAATTATCTTTAGGTATATCGCGATCGTTGACATCCAACAAAACTGAGTCAATGGTCATAGATTTCCCTTCTTCAACTTGAAAATTAGTGAGAAATAGTTTGGGGATTTCATCGTTTCTGCCGTGAATATCAATGATCATCATATGGCGCTGAGAGTTCTTTAAACCATCAGAACAAGACAAAGCGAAAAGATCTATTTTTGGTTCGTTACGAATGTGGTTGTTTTGAACGTAGTTAATTCTCTGTGACAGCAGGTCGCGTACAGTAAACGACATTATAGGAATGCCTACTTGAGATTGCTCCATTCCTTTTGATGGTGCAATGTTTTCTAAGAATCCCTGCAAAGGTGAGGCATCAATACGACATGTGATATCATCAGGAATTGTATCAGCATCGGTAACCATCAAATTACTCGTCGCTACAGTCGCCTTTTCTCCTTCCCATACTTCAAGACGGTCGTTAATTTTAATCACTGGTTCTTTGTCGTCCACAGGGGAAATTCGGACGTGAAATGTAAAACCTAAAAGTATAAAATAAAAAAATTATGATCACTTACAATATCCAGGATTTTTAATTAGTTAATGTTATTTTGATTCTGATCTAAGTTGGTTAAAACTGTTCATAAAATCAGTTATAAAACGAACAGTTTACTGAAGCTGGATTCGAACCTTAATATTAAACGAACCGGGCTGATGCTCTTCCCATTGAGATATCGAGTCAACTGGCAAGAGAACAAACCTGCATGGGCAAAGAGATGATAGTTCGCCTGATAATTTATATATAACAAACAGCAAACGATCAGCCGTCAAAACGTTTACTCAGACAAACTCAGAAGTTATAGTCTTGACGGAAATACTTTACTAGGCACAATTTGCTCTCCGAACCATTGCCAATAAAGATCGGACTGTCCTATCTAATACTGGACTAGATTGTACGTCTTGTTTACACGGATAGTCCGCCAGGCAAAATTATTATGTGTCGCGACGGATGATCTGAATATATACTATAAATCAGGATATTTGCAAATGGAAGAAAAAAAAAGATTCGAAAATTAGCCGCCATAATATTCCATTACTGTACATTTTATGCATTACCACTATTTACCAGGCTAATAAACAATTGTTTAGTGTTTCTGCTGTTCAAAGCAAAGTGTAAGGCTTTAAGATTGAAAACAATCCATCCAAGTCAAATTATAGCCTTTGAAATGTGTTTGCCAAAACTACCACGAACTTTGGTATTTTTAACATTTAATTTCCAAAGGGAATACATGGTATTATATTTATATTTCGTCAAACTGAGAGTCCCGAAGTATTCTATAAAGCGGCAGTGATTACCATCATTGAAATTAATTTGGGGAGAAAAAAGAATGACAATGTCCAAAGGTCGTAGGTTCGATTCCCACCGTGGCCGGGCATATTTTTCAAGCTCGCCCGGTGTGAATATACACTCAGAGCAGGGCTCGAATTTTATCGCAGCAATCGCGGCAATTGCCGTAGAGGGAGAACAAAATGCCGTGGATCATTGCTGCAACGACGGCAATTTTTTTCCGTATGTATAGTGCAATTTTTATACTATTCACTGTGCATTACTATTTTGATACTTGAATTCAGATGTTGATCAAATCATGCGTAAATCACTATTTTAGCCTCAGTTTTCTTCGAACTAAAAACAGTAAAGAAATACGTGGACATGTTTCTAGCTTGTCAAAAATCCAAAGTAACAATAAAATTAAAGTTTTATTACAGTAATTTGAAAAATGCCGTGGAAAATGCCAAAATTGCCGTAGACAGCTGTTACGTTCTACGGCAATTTTTAACGCCATTGCCGTCGATTGATTTCAGGGAAATTCGAGGCCTGACTCAGAGTAACATCACAAACATCATATTCATCTGAGGACACAACACCAACACAGAAAAAAATCATAATATTACCTATTCTGCGAGATTCGCCCATTATGTGTCCTTGTGGATCATCAGACAACGTCAGATTAAAGAAATCGTGTGCCTCTTTCACGCCAATCTCCTCCACGTCATGTCTATAAACAACCAGATTGTTGATAACATCTGACTGAGTAAAATTGTTCACCACACTGCCATTCACCAAAAGTTCACCTCGCCTCGGGAAAGCGTTTACCATGAAAAATAATTTCAAGTCATCAGTATCAGGGTCTGTAGCTTGTAATTCCTGACTGGTAATAATAGCCGACCCAGCTTCTTCCACATTGATGGAAGACACTTTGACTAAAGTCGGAGGCTGATTCTTTGCGCGAGTATTTGCATTTCTGTCTCTTGGCTTTGAGGCTAAAAGGAGGAAAACAATATTACCTTCTCGCACGCCGCTGGAAGCTGCTGCAGCACCAGCCGCAAGCTTGACATTTATTTATAGCACAACATAACCTAACCTGTCCGTTCTAACTTTTCTTAATAAGGAAGGGTGGGCCTGTGGGACTTATGTCAAGCTACGGTTAGAAACAACAAAAATATGCCCATTTAACCTGCACCACCCGATAACACATAATTTCTATCGGAGTTCCAGCAGTGTGTTAGAAAACGCTTCTTTCGCGCCTCAGCCAGCGGGAGCTGGCCAGATTAAAAATGCGATACGCCTATAACGACTATAACATATTTTAAATTTAGTAGTAGTATTCGTATATAGTTTGTATATAATTTAATTGTATTTGTATATGTTGGTAAGCGAAAAGCCACTCTGTGGATGTATTGTCAATAAATCGTTATATTATTATTATTGTTATTGTTATTGTTATTGTTACTGTTACTGTTACTGTTACTTGTATTGTTACTGTTACTTGTAGTGTTACGTCACTTCCGGTAAGCCTCGTGGGAGGCATTCGTTGAGAGAGCCAGAGCGGGAAAGTAAACACATATTTTGCAAGCGAATTTGAGCTATAAAACTAGTAAACCCTAAGACATAACATTACTGTTACTGTGTTTCACTGAACCAGTCCTCACATGTGAAAAATGAACTGTCTCTTATTATATAGAAAACGTTTTACACTATAAAAAGAAATGCGTTCATTAAGCTTGAGCCCCTGAACAAATACTATATTTTAACAAAATACATGAAATCACCAGTCCGCTTCCGCCATCACCAATCCGCTTCCACGCCCGCCAGCTGCGTCCGAATCCGTCTTTTATCCACACCCTGGACGTGGATTCAAATGAATTTCAACATATGAATTAGACAAGGTGTTATAAATATGTGTCATATTAACTACATGTAAGCTAATAACCAAAAATGTTATAATGTAGTTGATTATTAATACCATAGAATAATTCTTTATGTTCATATAATTTCATAATAATTTTAAAACTTCGCATATTGGAAAGACGATTTCCCCCCAAATAACCTTAGAAATATTCTTTCGTTGAATCAAACGTGTTTCCTGCGCAGTTATAGGCTTTATGTGTTTAATGGGTTTATTTTTTCAGTATTAACAGGCTATTATATTGACATGCATAATTTTCTCCAAATAACTGCAATCTGAACAATCCAAACTCGCCATGGCCTATGCACATTGGAGCTATTGTATTTAAATCAAGGGAACAATGAAAACAAACTAAAACACAAACTATCACTGCATGAACAATGATTTATCAACTTTTTCATGCTCTATTCGGATAAATAACAAATTACAAATATCGAAGCTATCATATTCAAATAACATAAACGATATAAAAGCATATATATCAATTATATTATTCTAAATTGTGTTAACCATTAACTATAATTACACCAACAAGATATTCAAATTCTCAATTATAATTTCTAAACATCGTTTTCCATCATGTTCGAAATTAACAATGTCTTTTGTTCTGAGGTAATGGCAATCACTGATAACAGAGCAGATAGCATCTGAAATTTCTATGAGTCAAACAATGTATCTTCCTTGATGCTGCTAAATATAGCAAAGTAACACTAGAGTATCTCAACCAGTGAATCAGCGATCTCACCAAACAAATTAGGTTTCCCCGCCCATTTCGATTAATTGCAAACTTATTATACTATATTAAGTCTTCAAAAGAAAAGCTTTAAGAGGATATTATTCAGAGGCACTTTCCTTCGGGGGGGGGTAAATAGTCATTAGAGCAGGAAGTAAAAAAACGATAATTTTAAATGTCATACATACCAAGAACTGTGCCAATTTGTAAAGTGGGAGTCACTAGTCCGTACGTGTGGTATGTATAATTGACACATTTTTTATACAAATTAAAGCCTGGTCAAATGAAATTTGATGCATGACAGATGATGAGAGTTTCCCGTTTGACCGCCATTCTCATCAACTCTCATGCACTCTCGTAACTTTTATCTGCTTCAGATCATTTTATCTGCTGCTATCTGATTAGAGATGGCAAGAGTGATATCCAGTCAACTCTCGACAACTTATGCAACTCTTGTTCTCTCATGGTTCATGCAAACTCTCGCCTGTTAACTCTCATTAACTCTCATTCTCGTTTAACCAGGGCTTAACTTAAAGGAATGTTTATTGAAGCAATTTGACAACAAATATGACTGAAACAAAATACTCATATTTGGCTATTATATGGATCATGGCATGCCTGTATATTTAGTTTTTTTTGCAGGTAGCTAAAAAAAATTGCAGTTAGCCCTGCGTGGTCCAAACTTGCCCGCTTCACTTGAAGCTTCCAAATTGCGACAGGGGACCGGGCACCGAAGAATTTTTTTGAGTTATGTTTCATATTGTCAAAATTAATTGTCCGCTAATTTGCTCAAACCCAACTGCTCGAAAATTTTCATATATCAAGCCGACAAAGATTGTCGGCTGATGAATAAAATTCGCCACAGAACAGGAAATTTTAAGTTTTTGATGGCATCATTTGATGAATTTACGTCTTGAGTACGACTCTTATTAAATCGGGTCGGTAAATATTGCAAAATGTATTTGGAAAAATTGAAATTTTCTACTTTACTTAAGCATGCATAAGACCTTCTGACCAAGGATTGCAGTTAGCTTCTCGAAAACGTTTGTGATTTTAAATAAAACTTTCAGCGCGGGTTTCCACAAGAACTTGGACATTATCATTAAAACTAGTATCACTAAATAATATATATATGCTTCTAACCTGCGAACAGGTTGTAAAACAAAATGGCGTTTCGAAGGAGTGGAATTTTTCGAAATGCAAAGTACAGTATCGACGAAGTTGCACCAAAATTTGAAGAAGTAAACGTTGAAACGCGAAAGTTTCCATGCTCTTCTACAAAGATCAAGTCGTTCTTGTCATGATAGTTTATTATCTTACGAAAATGATGTTTTGACCTCTCAAGGCTCTCAACCGAGACTCACGGTTTATAATAATATAGTATTTATTATAATCATTGTGTAAGAAATTCAAATATTGAAACTATAACATTAATGTAATGACTAATGGCATTATTGAGTAAACAACTTTTGTTATATACAGCATAATAATAAGGAATTTATTCCCAAAACTAGAATCTTATGATAAATTCATAAATGAACTAATTTCGAAATGGTAAAGCTGTGAATTTCCAAATAATTATTCATTTACTGTAGTCTGAACTAGATTATTGCGACTTTATTATATAACAATTGACCTGCTTGTAACTACTACTGAGTAGTGTAGTCTTGATACTAGCCAATATATCAGGAATTATTCTAACGAAATTTTACAACTCCAGCAAATTAAAAAACCTCAAACAAAAAACATGTGTAAGACTGTATTGAAAGGGTTTCAAGTGTATTTTACGGCTGTTGCCGTTGGAGAATTCTACTTCCAGGTTCAATACAGGAAAAGGGCGGGTTGGAAAAAATGAAACAACACGTATACGCCATCCTTATCACCAACGACAGAGTCTTCCAGCATATAGAATAATCCCTGCAGCTGCAATATATCCTTTGTGAAGATTCATTATCCCAAGACGTTTTAGAAAATGCATTTTTATGAGCAGAATTCCTATGTTACTAACCAGTTGTTAAAAGAAGGGACCTGTCTAATCCCAATCAACACTCTGTCTATTTAATACACCCCGAGGCAGTCACAAGTATTTGAACAAGACACCAATTGAGCAGCACCACCAACAACCGAAACCTCAACAAGAACAACAGCGACAACAACCAAAATTGAAAGTCGACAAATGCAACAAGGAGAAAAAAAAAGCATTTTAAGCGCAGATTTGTGTACGCTTTGCGTACCTTTACGTTGTCGGTGTCACAGACCGGGATTTCTACTGGAGATCGGGGGCGCCGAAGACTTGAACGCAGGCTCTACATCTAGGGATAATTAGTAGCTTTCAAATTTTCAACACTCTACTTATGTTTCTTAATTTGTGGATAAAGTTTGGGTAACTTTAAAGTTTGCAACTTTTGCAAAGCTGCGACTTACAACAGACGCTTAATTTGTTTCAGCCGATGCAAAAGTATACCATAATGTACTTTCAGACGAAATAACTCGAATCTTGGTTCTCTATTTTGCGTTTAGAAGATTGCGTTTTAAAAAGGACTTGGAACGTTTTATTAACGATATTAGCTACTGTTGGCTCTCTGGAGTAGAGAGTAGATCAACGGTTTCGTTAGAATATAAATCCTCTTTCTTCGACCGAGCAAACCACGTCAGTCGATAAATCGTTCGGTAAATAGAACCAATTTGCTGATATTATGAGTTTGTATAATTAAATCCGGTTTGGCTTACCCTTTGTTTAACCTACACAATAAGCATCAGTGTCAATTGGAAAATACTGCTTGACAAACTCGTGTCTGCTTGATTATTAGTTAGCACTAGTAAGACCTCCTAATGAAAGATAATCAAGGTTTTTCAAACAGAAATACATCCAATGTCAAATTAACATTTGTAGAATAAAGCAAAAGCCGACAACCATGTACAAAAGGCTAAAATTTAATCACAAAATCTCTTCAGTATTTACCGATATTTATTAAAAGCCCACGTCTATATAGAATATGAGCTATGCACGGAATGTAACTGTTTATTTACACACTATAAATAAGACTTGAAATTATTTTAGGAATTATAAAACAAAACTGTAGTAACCTGTTCTACAGTTTTATTTCGCTATACTATTTATAGACTTTCGACTATAGAGGTACATTCCTACTAGGAAATACTGTAAGCATTGTGATTAACAAAAATTTAAAAGCTTGGCTTTGAACTAATGGACACTGCGTGTTAACAAAATGCACCGCGAAAATTTGATTGTTTAATGATCGATATGCAGGTACTTCAACCTCGTTGGGCGGGCTCGTCCCCAGTCTCTTTCCATGCGCTTTTGGCGTAGTATTTGCAGAACTAGAACGATCTTGGCGATTTCTTCTACCTTAATGTTATTTATTGTTATAATGAATATTATCAACCAAACACAAAGCATAGATAGACGATGAATCATAAATTGAGATTTGAGAGCAGCACGACAGCAGGAATTTGACCATATGCAATCGTGCCTGTGAAAATTATTCAAGAAGCTTTTCGCAGCACAAACTTTCTACGTATTTCGCGTAGAACTTTGTCATCTATGAAATCCATTCTTTTCAGCTTTTTTCATGAGATTTTGATCAACGTTGATGGGGTTGGTCATGTACAAAACTCTTAAATGTCATACATATATGTTAATTTACTCTTACATGCACATGTTGCGTTGCAGTAGAGGTGCTAAGCTAGGGGTCTATGCATGTGTACAAGTACTGTATTGTTTAGAGTAAAAACGGATATGCACTGTGTACAAGTCTAAATGTTAGAAAAAGCTGTCATATTTGCTGTGGACATAGTGCACGTACTACCAAATAAAGTTTCGGCAAGCGGAACAAATACAAGATTAGATGCTTCGTCTATACCTGGCTGTAGTTGGCTTGCAGAAAATTTGAATAGTGTCAGTTTCATTCTTCGCAAGAAAATCAATTGCTCGTTTAGACACAGTTGGAGAAACAGTTTTGAATAACTCGCTAACAGCGAGGAAGACGTTCTAGAACAATCCTACGACACAGGCATTCAAAACATAAGGACAATCGTAGCTATTTATGCTATTTATAAAACAAACATAGTTCTGTTGCAGTGATTATCACTTAAATACCACAAGACGCTGAGTGTATACTAGATGTTTTCTAAATCACATTTCGTGACTCAAAAGTGTGGTTGGGTGCTCTCTAACAATACGAAAAATAGTCTTTGTGTTTTTTCTAATGGTCGAAAAAAATTGTAATGACATTACACACGCTATGACCACATTTACAAATAACAATTACAGGAATCAGTAATTACAGAAATGTAATTAGGATTGTCTTTAACTGTTTAAATTAAGATGGTATGCATACTTGCATTTCTGCCACTAACCGTTATAATTAACACAAAAATAGAAAATATGTTCTGGTCGTTTCTATATACAAGTAGGCAATAGACTATTGTAATATTCCCAATAAAAATGAGATCCAAACAATTAATCTGCACTCATGTCTCATAATAAGCTTTTCTTAAATAACGAAAATTTCTCACTTCACCACAAGTTTTCGAAGAAAGAAACCTTTAGTATTTGTAAGGAACGGCCAGTTATGTCATTCATTTTTGTCCTACAGTATGCACTCAGTGTATTTTAACCAACCAAAGTAAACATTACCCTAAAGAACACATTTTAATTTTTATGTATTCATATTAACATAAAAAGAATTTCTATTGGCCACATACAGTACAGTAAAGAACAGTTCGACTTAACGCGTTCAACTACTTAACAATCGTCTTGGCTGTTTAACCAGCCTGTTGTTTCATAACCACAACACTATTTTTGGTAATTTATTATAAATGCCTAAACTATATTGTGGGTATACTACACTGTATGTGAGTGCTGACCAGCTTAGTGTAACTTGTGAACTTGTCTTTGTTTAAGTCGACAAAAGTACAACTGATTTGTGAAGCATAGCACAGTGGCAGTGCGGCACAGATTTTCTTACTACAGATTTTCTTTTGGTAACCACTGCCTTGGTTTAATGCCTATTCTGGGGGCTGCTGGTATTGCACAGCAACTGTGCATTCTCCAGCACGCCATTACAGTATATTGTTTTTGCTTGTGAATAAAACCTGTATCAATTCAGTGGAGCCAGTATCAAAGGAAGAAGTATCAAATAGCTCTTTTTAATTTGAACACAAAACAAATAAAAATAGGGAAAAACCTTTTTGAAATAATGAGAGTTATTTGGATAGTTGGACCCAAACATTTTATTTTTTGTTTATTTATATATAAGACGACACTTAGTATTCTATTTTACTTAATGCGAGACAATTTTATTTATCTCTAGAGGTAATAAACCATATGAGGCATTGCCTTTCAATATGGCAGGTTAATATTTCACCACCAAATGAGACATACTGTACAATGAAAGACCCTTCCAGAAACTACTGCACATGTTATGGCTATATAGGTTTGTTTTCATGACTGAGACCTAATGGCTTCATAACTATGATAATCTTATGACTTATCTTTGGTTACTAGGTCAGACTGTGAAGTTAAGACTTCATCATTGAAAAAAGGCTCTATAGCCATGTGTTATTTTCCACTGGCTGAGGCACGAAAGAAACATAAATGTTTTCTGACACACTGCTGGAGGCTCAATAGGAAATTAGGATGTCATCAGGCAGTGTAGGTTAGATGAACACATTTTTGTTACATCAGTTCCTAACTTCCTAGCAGTGTGTGAGAAGACATATTTTCTATAACGTTGTTTTACAAACATACCTGCTTGAATCTGAAAAGTGGCCATCTCTCTACCACTAGTTTGTCTTATTTGTATTTCATCAAGTTTTCCATCAGCATTCCTTTGTACATATAACAGCCTCTGATTGGTGATATCATCAACAGTGAAAATGCCATCAACATCTAATCTTTGTCCATTTTTGTATAGTATTCCATAGGTGGGCAATGCAACAATGACAAACTGTTGCCATCTTAACCGATGCCTTGATGGGAAATGCAACTTCCCATCTTCATTAACAAGCAGCTTAATGATCTTTGCAGGATTGACTTGCCTTTTCTCAGCATGCAGTCTGATGCTAAAAATCTGGTTGTCCACACTATGGCCAGCTGGATCAGATACACTAAATTTGAATTGTACATCCATGTCTGTGTATCGATAAAGTCTAGAAGGTGGTTTGTATGAGACTTTGTGGTGTCGCAATTGTTGCTGAGTAAAAGTTGACAAAATTATGTCTGGTTTGTCAGTTGAAACAATAGAGCCTGCTTGCTTTGTTTGATTTGAACCTGAAACAAAGTAGGGTGTTTGCTTTATTGTATACAGTAGTTTCATGTCATCAGAGTCTGCATCTGTAAACCATAGCATTTCCCTTGTTAGTTTTAGTAATCTTGAATCCTTCACTTCTGCATTCATACTACAATCTGAGTCAACCTGTGGAGAGTTAACATCAACTTGCTTGATCAATATATTAAATAACTTAACACCAGATTGATTTGGATTATCAAGACTGTCTACCAATTGAAAATAAAACCTGTCCTCAAATATTTCAACTCCAGTATGCACATAATATAGTTTGCGAAGCAGAATATCTTCCTGGGTAAAACTGTCTATATCTGATTTTATCCAGTATGAACCTGATTTACTCCACATCTGGTCATCAACAGGTCGTTCTTTTTGTCGAAGCATTAGAAAACCGGCTTGCAGGCCTGGTTTGCCTATCTCATCCTCCAAGTAGCTTTCATGTTGTAACTGTGACCCCACAAGAAACAACAATTTATTGGTATCTGAATCAATGTCACTAGCTCTTAGGGAATATTCATCGATGATAGAACTCCCACCTTTATCAAGTTCCAGTCCTGTATTGCAAACTACAATAGGTATTTCATCATCCACAGGGATAATATTAATTACAAATACAAACTCCACATACTGCTTACCATCAGTGGCATTCAGTATGATATTGTCACTGTAAGTATCTGAATTATCATGTTGATAAATAATTGTTCCATTATCAAGGTCTCTAGGTGTAAACCACCTTGCAACTTTTCGATTCACATACAATTCACCATGCCGCAAGCCACCAACAATATAAATCTTTACATCATCAATGTTGTCCTTGTCTGAAACTTGAAGGTTATCTTTTGATGATATAATTCGTGATTGTCCTTCAAAGAGCACAAGTTCCTTATTTTTTGTTACCATTGGTGACAGGGTATTTCTTGGCGATACTTGTATGAGAAGTCTAATTGGTTCAGAATGAAAAGCTTCAGTGTCAATTGCTTCAAAAACAACTTCCAGTAGTGGTCCTTTCAAGTTAGCTATTTGTGAAGGAGGTTTATAAGCAATTTTAAGATCTGTGATATCTTTTCGATAAAATGAGGTTATCGGTGTATGTGGGTCATCAGTACTGACGATACATCCTTCACCTGGTCCTAGTGGTTCAGTTATATTGAAGATCAGATAGTCTGCGTTGGTTTCAACATCCTCAGCATCTAATACATCAGTGGTGATAAGCTTTGTAACGTATTGGCCCACAGACATAAACTCTGAAGCCTTGAAAGATGCCATAGGTCTTTGATTCTTTCTCGCACCGAGTATCCGCACCGCGACTTGAAAATACTCTTTCACAATCTCTCCTGTCTGACGATGAATTTCGACTGTCATGGGAATATAGTCCCTATTAGGGGACTGTGCCCCTTTAGTGTGTTCATAGCGTATGTCTGCAGTCAGGAAATCTGAGCAAAATAATGGACGAGCGAATGAATCCGCGCTTTTGGTGATGTTGAGCAATCGACCGTAGCGTGGAAGTCCTTTTTCGGAGTCAAGCCTGTCAAGAATTATGACTCTACATGCTTCCATTCTTTCCGTATCGTACATAAACTGCAATATTTGGTCATTTATTCCTGTCGAGATTTTGTCAGGACCGCTTACGATTAAATCGTTGTTTTTCTTTACAATTTCCATGGGTAAAAAGGTAACAGTAATATCGAGGACAACGCGGCGAAGAATGGTCTCTGTGGCGGAATCAACACGAACGCTAAGCTTTACGAAATCTTTGCTAGGAGCCTTCGATCCAAGATGAACGTAGCGAACTTCACCTTTGGTAAATTCACAGGGAAATTTATCCGGTGTTAAATAACCGGTTCTCTCCGCAAGAGGGTCGTCACGAACTACACTGACCTCGCAACGATATTTGACAGAGCTGACAGGAACTTCGATTTTCAAGTGTTGTTGTGGGTCAAGCCATAAGGTCCTACCATACGATACGATCAGGGCGTGATGCCGTGTGATCTTTGGTATTTGTTTATCCGCAAACACCGGTAATAACAACCAAATAACGGCAGCCACCCCATACCAACTCATCGACATCATTGCGTGCAAGTCTTGGGCCTAAAGAAAAATAACCGTGTTACTGGTGTTAGTAGTTTGTTGAGGTGAGTGATGATGTTTTGCTTGGGAAATCGACCGTGTTCCGGTGCTTGAATATTATATTTCTAATCACGCCAATTTAAATTCGATGTGAATTGCGCCTATGGCTATAATGATCACAAAAGAGGCACAGGGAAAAACGAAATACATGACAAGCGAGGAAAGACAATCTCGCTGTCTATATCGCATTTTACACTGTCATGTCAAAAGGATCAAAACACACCACAAACTAAGACCTGCTTACGATTTTCCCGCGCGCGCCTCAGCTTTCAGCATTCATGGCTTATTCGCCAGGTCGATTACCTGCTCAGTCAAGCAATAGTAAATAACAGCTTCGCTTGCTTGTAGTAACTTTGCAAATCGCTCGTCACCATAAATTGTTGGCTTTACTTTGCAAACAACTCGGTCAGTTTCACATTGCCGTCAAAGGACTACTGACCGTGGTTCTTTGTACTCCTAATATGTCAAAACAAACTTGCCAATGGGGGGTACCATCAACTTTGGACACGAAATCAATGTTTTGACCTCTGTACACCACGAAAACCGTCCCGCCTTGTCTCGAAAAATAACTATGAAAACGCAAACTATTTATGACAACAAACTAATCCGGCCGTTGTGTGGCTGACAGAACGTTTATTCCCTTAACGTAGTCGTTTGCATGAACGACAATTCGTTAAACTACCGTTTAGCACCCATTTGAACACCAACCACTTAAGTTACTCACGTTTGTTTAATTTACAAAGAGCAAGGACGACGATTCAAAACATTTAGTGGGCAGCATATAGATGTAGTTTTAAAAATCACATCGCTTCACTCTCATTTAGTCTCGGTCATGCTGGCGTGTAAATCCGCTTTGATTGGACCCCGCATAGTGTTTTCATCGCCAAAAGCCTCCTCTTGTTTATACAAGTATAGTGCGCGTATATTTAACGTTCAAAGTGCGCGTTGTTATACAAGTTTCAGTAATGTAACTAAATAGCAATTGTTAGGATGACTAACCTTTATTAAAGTGCTAAGTTCTCAACTTCTTGTGAAGTCGACTTGATTCTTTGCCCAAAGTGTGGTATAGACAAAGGAAGGTGCGTAGGGTTTACAGCATACTTAAAGATTAGCAAACAGCATGAGGTAGACAAAGATGTATGTTCATCTTTTGCACATGCCTGTGTTCTTGCAATACACTGCTGTGTCGCACTGCGTATACAACAATTCCGTTTCCTTCGGTATGTGTACCCAGCGTGTTGCGCTTGGGAAAGACTCAAACTAACTCAGAACGCCGAAATTCGCGTTCGGCGCTAACAATTGCAGGAATTTACAGCAGCCATGTTTACTCAACAGAAAGGCATGATTGAAAGCTGCAGTGCCTTGCAATGACATTTGTTTATCTAAGAGACTTGTTCATCCGATGACCTTAGACTTTACGTACGTAAATTTACACATGCACTCGAAATATTATCGTCTCGTTCTCGCCAACAGAAATTTTATCACAACTTGCAGATGTTACATGGGCACAATTAAATGGTCTGTTGGTAACATGATTGACACAACTGCGCACAATAACCGCGATCTTTATCAATATCATGTTTACAATTTAATAATTTTACACAAACTAAAGATGGTTCTTGAAACAGTGAAGCGGCGAACACTGTTGTCTGTTGCTTTATGCGTAGCTTGCCCTTTTATATAATCACGTATAGTATTTTAGTATTTATCCAATACATGTAAGCTATAAATTATATTTTATTCACTCTCTTGAGTCTTGGTCCCCAGATAAATGATCACCAGAGCCGGATCACCTCCTAAACTCTTCCCCAACCAAAACTCGTAATAATAGTGCATGCATATATTATATACAGTATATATATCAAATTATGTGGATTGTGGACTGCGATTGATGCAATAAGTCATATAGCCATAGGACATGGGCATAATATTTTTATAAACTCAAGATGATTTTACTGGTCAGTGAGAAAGTCGGTCCTCGGACGACAAAGAGTTTAAATAATAAATCATGTTCTACTTATACAAAATATCCGGCGACAGTTATAAGACTAATTACGGACGTATTCATCGTCACATAATCTTCACTTTGAAAATATTACTGCCAAATTCACCTCCGTGCCGCGGTGTTAATCTGTCGACTGATAAGATCGGGAGAGAATATTGTTCGTCAAGACACGCTGTTGATCCCATTGAATGGCAATGTTAGTTATGTTGCCAGTTTAATGAAATAATTAGATTTTGAAAGCGTTTCACCAGGTGAAAGGAAATTTCAACTTGCGAATAAGCAGAAAATCCTATGGAGGTCACCGAACCATTTACTAATTATAGAATACAAATTATGAGTCCGCTCGAGGGCTTGACGTGATCAGAGGGGGTTAAAAATATCTGATATTATTCCATAAAATTTTGAATATATAGAAACTACTCACACTAAAGTGTGTCATTAGGTACTTGAACAGTCAACTGAGTTTCAAAAAGGACAATTTCGTAGTGAAGTGTCACGCAAACTTTCGAAACGGCAATTTGGGTTTTTGAATAGCTAGGGCAAAGACAAAGTTGTACATATAGCACAAAAAATTAAACTAAAATCTAAATCTATAACACTATATAATATATATTTTCGGCGCATGCTAATTAATTAGCATGTTTTTAAAACGAAAGACGTAAAAAACTATATAAATCAGCCACAAGCCACTATTTCCATACATAGTTGTTCCATATGAACTTTGTTGAAATGTGTTGACGTTTTCATGCGCGAAGAATTGATAACTTGATATGCGTGCGTGGTTATTGATCACAAAGTTCCGGGGAGTATATAATATGATGAATTGAATAAGTTCTGAGGTTTATGCCCAGCAAGAGTTAAAAAGATTGCTTTCAACTTTTAGCCAAAACATATACATGGTGTTGGGATGTGTGTTTGATTGAACACGGATCATCTTAGACGCCTGCTGTAAGCACCACATTGCTAAGTGTGTAGGTGGAGCTGTCATTCATTATAGCCAAGCATGTAAACTGTAATCGGATAAATAAATTTCGCTGTGTCCATCCTATATTAGTATATACCCTAGTTTCGAAGAACTGAACTCGAAAGAATTTTTCTATGTGAAAGATCAAAAAGGCAAGGCTAAAAGTTTAAAAAATGAAAGGCAAAGGCAAAGTCTAGACACAATTAAAATATACATTATATACACTACTCACTAGCTTAACTTGCATGGATTGGAAGATATGATTTGGAAAAACTGTAATTATCGCCTTATTTCATTACTTATACTTTTATAGGGCCGGCTTTCATATGGGGAGAATGAGAAAAGTACGGCAAAATTTCCTTTCATGAACCGGCATGCATGCATTTTATTAACACAATGTCCGAATAATTTTTCATACACTTCCAAAAGTCTTACCCAAATTAATTGCTGAATTGAAGCTATAAATATAAAGAAACTGTAATTAGTGTAAATTACATCAGTTGATCAAAAAGTAAAATCAGGAAAACGGCAGGCAGTAAAATCGAGAAAATACTGCATGTTTACATAGTGTGTTTGCAAACGTCAGTTATTGTAAACTCGAGTCTTAACCATAAAATTTATAACAGGAAATCAGTTATTAAGAAGTTTGTTTATATCTAATCCATGAAACTCCAAAGTGAGAGCTATAATTTATGATGATCCGTTCTGTGGAATGAATTTCAAGGGCCCCACAACTACAAGGTCCTGGAGCCTTCGCCTTTTTAGTACATGCATGTAGTTCAGGCACAAATCGCGGCAGTGTACCTACGGCTATACGGCTACACTGTCACTGGACCCGTCTAGAACTATGCCTATAGGCTATATGCTATGTTTATAAAATGTTATTCCATCAAAACTATATCTGACTAAACATATGCATTCATGCATGCTTTCCACATTTACTCCCGCCTATTAATTTGTTTTAATATGCCAAAGGCAAAGCCAAGGCAAAGCTATATACATCGTGGGATATAGCCATTATAGGCTATGAGGTCTAAATATTTTTAAAACTGGAAAACCATATTGGCATATATGTTGATTTGATATAGCTGGAAAGAATTATGACCTATTATACTTGTTAGTGTTGATATCGCACATGCCATGGTTATGCCACTGGCACTGTGATTCTGTCATTTGAAGCTAGAACGTATATATAACTGTATATACTTATATATGTATAATTACAGAAATATATTACCGAACCTTATATCAACATGCAGGCAGACGAGTAAAGGCATGAGTAAATTTACAATAATACTATGAATTATATAGTGAAATTATTAAATTATATGAAGAAATTATTAAATTACTTCATTATTACTATTATTGACAATTAATCTATTGTTTAGTGAATGTGATCTCCCGTGCAGTATAAAACCTTTGGCCTTGTTAGGAAGGTCAATGCCAGTTCGTCATATTTAATAATACACATGCATGCAGTGTGTCAGAATGGATATTGAATTGGTAATATGACATTGTTCTGATTTGTATTACCTATATGTACTTCCCTATCCCCCCCACCCCAATCGCCAGGCATTCGGCAAATTATCGAATCCCAGTCGGGAAATTGGTTTGTCTGCAGATTGTACTATATATATATATATATATATATATATATATATATATATATATATATATATATATATATATATATATATATATATATATATATATATATATATATATATATATATATATATATATATTTAGATGAAAATGTTCTAGAGTGTGTATTATATAATTTCCATGCCCAACGCAAGCAGAAAGATGTTGTCTGCCGCGGCTGGGTCTCCAACCCGCGACCTTCGAATTACTAGATCGACGCTCTACCTACTGAGCTACACGGTCAGACGGATAATACACACTCTAGAACATTTTCATCTTAACATATAACAGAGTGTACAATTACACAACAAACATAACACTTGCAGAACT